TATGAGCTTGTTTACCCATGGGGACCACAATTTAGGTCCCCACCGTGACACGAGTCCCCATGAGTCTGTGTTTATTCAGGTTTAAGTCCCCACCAGAATAGAAAACAGGTACACACACACACTCACAGACACACACACACACACACACACACACACACACCACACACACACACACACTAACACTGTGTGTGTTTATTTGTGTATACCTACTGTCTATGCCAGTTTAAGTGGACCAGTGTACTCACACGCTCTTGACTTACTATCTACAAAAAGAGCTTCAGCTTTTTTTTTCAGCTTCAAAAACAGGGGCACCATTCACTGCCATTATACAGTTTGGAAGAGCCAGGACAATTTTTAATATTGGATTCGTCTGAAAGATTTCTAATGGCTCGATTCTCTCAAGTCTGCATTCGATGCATCCTCGATATCAAGAACGCATCCGGGCACTTTCATGCATCCTCTGTACTTGCGTTCTTGAGTATTGGGGCGAATTCCAAACGGCTTTTTTGCCATGAATATATAGGGTGAAGGGGACGCCATTTGTAGGAACGTTCCAAACGAAAGTGAACAACTGAATCCCTTCACGAAGGGCCCTTCCAGAAGTCTGTTAGCGAAGGGAACATGCGATGGTCACTTCACGGAAGTGATTTCCGTTTGTGATCATGTGATCTTCGGTTAGTAGCTCTTGCTATGCTTTTTAAAGCAAAGTTGGGGTCGAGCGCAGTTGCTCTCCACCGACTGCGCTGATCAAAAGCATGATGGGAAACGACTGACTGACGACACAGCTTAAAGGGGTCATCGGATGCAAAATTCACTTTTGTTGTTGTTTGAACATAAATGTGTGTTGAAAGTGTGTGTACACATCCACCCTATAATGATAAAAATCCACCCAGTGGTTTTTTTAAAATCGCTATTTTAAAATCCTCTTTCTCAAATCAGGCTGTTGTGAGATTCCTGTCAGAGTGACGCAGTTATGTACAGGCCCCTCCCACGATAGTTGATTGACAAGTCCATCTTACCTTAAGCCCCGCCCTGAGTGAGCTGAGAGCTGTCCGCCATTGTGTCGACTCCGGTGCAGGGGAAGATAAGAACGTCTCCGATTATGCGATTGAGGTGTTTTGTTGCTGGATGTAATAATGAACATAGCAGTTGTCATTTACTCCCGACATCTGAGCCGCTGAAGACGCAGAGGATTAACGTTACTTTCATTTCTGAAAGGAATGCGCCGAACCCGATCTGCCTAAATGTTCGCGCGAATCATTCATGATCCAGCTTCATCTACAGAAGAAGTGAGTATAAGGTTTTTTTTATGAATCTTTGCAAATTGCCTTTCCTAATATGTGCTAGTTAGCAAGTTTTGCGGCTTAAGTTTACAGTCTGCTCGTCACCCCACGGAAAAGAGGGGCGGGGTCAGCAGAGCTCATTAGCATTTAAAGCAACACGGACTAGAACGGCGTGCTGAAAACAGAGCTGATTTTGACAGGGTAAAAAGGGTGTTTTTTACACTGCCATTGAGAAATTTTAACCAAAGTATGTTATAGACTTTTCATTAAGATCCTAAAGAATCATCCGATGACCCCTTTAATGCTCATTGGTTCAGACAACTGTGATGCTGCGTTTTTATCTGGTTCCATGTGATTATGTACTTAAATTATGCATGAATGCTCCCAAACACTATGGATGATAAATACACCTTTCGTATGGAATTAAATAGCAAGCACTTTGAGTGTCTTGTTCATCATATTTATTTTCATATAAAAGCAACAGAACTGAAATCAGTTTCTTGAAGTGCCCTTCTGCATCATCATCACGTGCCCACACGGAGGCGCCGTCATCATGCAAAGAATCAGCGCAAAGGATCATGGGAGCCCAAAGTGTCCATCAGTTGTACCCTTCGAAATCCTTCATTCCGAAGGGCCCTTTGAAGTGGCTAGTTTTGAGCACTTCGGTTTCAACGACCCTTCGATATGACGGCCATGATTGTTTTCACTTCGAAGTGCCCTTCGGAGGGCGATATATCCCGTTTGGCACACACCGAGTATGTCCCAAGGCTTGCCTACTCTTCTACTACACGCTCAAAAGTGTGTACTTTTTCTTCACCAAAAGTATAAGTAGGCACATTGAGACGCAGCACAAGGCTCTCTCAGCAAATTTTAAGATACTGCAGCCCCTGACCTAGGCGGCTGGTCTCGTTTTGCTCTCTTTGATGGCACATGTGATCGTAAGGCGGCTGCAGCGCCGATCGGACAAATGGTCTAACCAGAATGCATTGCTTTTGTCAGGCGGCAGCCGATCTTTGCGGCGCCGCATGAAGTCGAAGTAGAACAAGCCTATTCTGTCAACACAAAAGACAAACCAATGCGCCGCTGTCCCTGCATGATAGCCCAGTCCTTGTCACAACAACAAAAAAACACACATTGCATTGGGCTTCCAGTATTATGTGCTGTTGACTTTTTCACTTTCTTATATATCACTGCATGTCTCATCCACGAGTATGCAACGATGGAGAAGTTTTAAGGGGTTTTAAGAACCAGAACCAGATGACTGAGCAATAACGCTATAGTGAGGCCCTTTATTAAAATACCTGGAGGTGAGGAATAATACAAAAACTGTCATATTCACTCAGTATTACTTGAGCTAATTCACAAATATCTCAACTACAATTAAGTAGAAATTAATTGTATTCAGTTGTGTTTTAGGTACTAAAACAGTCCAGTGCTTTACAGTGAAACACATTTTTTGAAATTGGAATAATAATGAATATTTCTGGCCCCTCCCTGGCCACCCCTGTGAAAACACCCTGGCTCCGCCGCCGTTGTTGGTGAACTAACCCTTTAATCGTGAGCCCAGTGTTTGGGATGGTGTTTAAAGGGATTGGGAAATCCTCCGCCGGGTGCGTCACAGTGACGTCAGCGCTGGCGTCTTCAGCTCGCGCGGACAGAGACGGCCATATTTGAGCGGAGCGTCCCGCGCGGTTCGTACGGAGCGGTCGGTCACCTGACTTTCACGCGCATTTAACGGTCACACACGACGCAGAAATGCCCCGCGGAATAAGCCTCTAGTTCAACCACATGATATCCTTTGGCCCCGCGCTGGAGTCCTCGCGTAAAATGGAGGTGCAGAGCGTCAGCAGTGAGGTACGTCGCGGATATGATCGCGTCCTCCGGCCGCTATTGATTATCGGTGACGTTAACGGCAGCGTTAGCTCGAGCTGTTAGCATGTGCTGATCACGAATCCTTCACAACATCGCAGCAAACGACGCTCGCGTCAGTGACGGCGTGTGAAAACACGGGCAGGTTTAGTGTGATGAGGATGATTAGCCTGCGCTTGTTGGTCGGATTCACCTATGAGTCATGACTAGAGCGCTCACAGCGGACCTCAGTGAAAACTGTAACGCCGCTGAGTAATATCTGCTAGTTACACACTGATCGAGCTGCCAACTATCTGTACTCGCAATCAGACAAAAGATATTACCACTTCATCCGTCTGTCTGGCGTCTATTCTGTTCAACTAACTATTGTTATTATTACTTCTTTATTTCGGACCCTTAGGTCCATATCATAAAAAAATTAAATACTTCTAATAACTAAAAATCCGTATTGTTTGTTTTCAGTAGATGTTTTTCTTTTTTGTTATTATTAATATCTTGTGCTGGTTAGTGTTTCTGTAACGCAGATCAGTGCGCACTGTAAGCAGGGCAGTAGTTAAATTTTTTATTTTAATGACTAGTTAAAGGGGTATGAGGCATATGATGCTTTTTTAAAGATCATTATTTTGTGTATTTGGTGATATCTCTTTGGTTTTGAGACTTTAGTCTTTGCAACTTCAGGGATCTTATCTATTCACGAACAGCTTGTAACACTCCAAAGAGAAAGGAAAACTTGAAATCGCATCATATGACCCCTTTAAAACGTAGAAGTGTTTTTATGAAGCAGTTCTGTATTCTGAACAGTAGGTTGCAGGAATCTGGTGTGTAAGTGCTATCGTGTTGTGCAGTGGTTTTAGTGTTGCTCTTACTGAAGTATCCATGCACACATGATTTCTGCTTTCTTATTCATAGTTATGTGACGCTGTGCTTTACTGTGTTTGTTCTGTTAATATCTGTCAGTGTCCAGCAGTGTGTTGTTGATGACTGATGCCGATATCTTAAAGTGCTTTTTCATGATCATCACATTTCCATTTGTATTTCAACTTCAGCACTGTTCAGCATGGTGCAATAACAATTTAGGGTTTGGGCCAGCTATAATGTATAGTCATGGTGATGTTGATATAAAATATCAGTCTGTATTGTTGGTATTGTGGTAGAGCTGAACAATTTGGGGGGAAATCTGAGTTGTCCTTTTTCTTTTTTTGAGTTGGTATCTCCTGGGCCAGGTTTGAAATTCGGCCTAAAACTAAATATTGTGATTTATATGTGACTTTATAATAATAATGAATTAACATTATTATTATTATTATTATTATTATTATTATAAAAATATTAAACAGAATAAGAGATATTGTACCCTTGTAATATTATTGTATTGTAAAATAAAAATCATATTTTTCAATATGAAGTGACAATACTAATCCTTATGTCTCAATTTAATCATTTTTAAATGTTAAACCATCAAGTTTCTGTTTTGGTCGAACACACAGGGAGCTCTTCAGATTTATTAACACTTCTCATCACAAATCGATGGTGAAATGGGAGGCACACATTGCGTTCCCGTTATAAGCGACCCTAACTCGGAGCAGATGCAGGGATGGAGTTTGTGTGGAGCTCACAGTCGCTGCGAGACACTGAAAACACTGTTATAATGAGCTGTGCGCGTGCAAATTAACACAGTGATGTGCTTCACTGTGAAACATGCATTGCATACGGTTAATTCATTCACAGCATTTGCAATTTGATAAGTAGCCTAGACTAAGCCATATTGTGATTTTTATTTATTTTTTGTGATGGAGCTCGTTCAGAGTTATTCAGCTTTAAAGGGATCATATGATGTTGCTAAAAAGAACATTATTTTGTGTATTTGGTGTAATGAAATGTTTATGCAGTTTATTAAGGTTCAAAAAACACATTATTTTCCACATACTGTACATTATTGTTTCTCGTCTATGCCCCGCCTTTCTGAAACGCGTCGATTTTTACAAAGCTCATCGGTCTGAAAAGCGACGTGTGCTGTGATTGGCCAGCTATCCAGTGCGTTGTAATTGGCCGAATACCTCAAGCGTGTGACGGAAATGTTACGCCCCTCACCATACTGTGATGATGCCCTGTCCGGCCGGAGCGATGAGACAAAAACATGAAAACCCATTATAAACGAGGCATTTGTTGCATCCAGTGGGATGAGCTTGTAACACTCCAAAGAGAAAGGAAAAATTGAAATTGCATCATATGACCCCTTTAAAATCAAGCAGAAGCCACTGCCAGCTGATTGAGTATGAGGTCTCTGCAGAACAAACGTGGGCATTTTCAAACTTGCATGATTCAGACTAAATCATGCAATGAAAATGACCTGACCCCAACCCCTAAGCAGATCAGGTAACGCGTAGGGCTGCTCGATTATGGCAAAAATCATAATCACGATTATTTTGGTCGATATTGAAATCACAATTATGAGTGGGCCACATGACCGAAACTTTATATGAGTGATTTATTTAAAGATAGCGCTATATATCAAATATATATTTTGTGTTCATAAGGTTGCAATGTCATCTACGTTCTAGAGACCAGCGAAATTTCACAATCCTCAATACCACAGCAGAATACTAGGTAGGGCTGTGTGATATGGGCAAAAAAAACCTAACGCGATTTCTTTGATCAATTTTGCGATTTCACAATTTTGACACACGCAGACATGCTTTACAGTCATTTATGCATTCAGTGTGAATTTGAAACATATTTCCAAAAGAAAACCAATTAGAGCTTTATCAAAAAGCTGTAACATGTCTCTAGATCAGACATAAGGCAAAATAATCACTAAGTAAAGGTGTAACAAAATGTCTCTAGAATAGACATATGGCAGGAAAAAAAAGCCAGTATCCAGGGATTTTTTTGCCATGCATTGGTCATGGAGCTCTTTGTGGCGTTGCCTCAGATGTTGGTATAACTACTTTTACAGAATTAACTTAATTACTGAATTTCACAGAAAATATTTGTTTATTTTTTATAAATAAACAACTGTATTTAAGTCAATTATTAAAGTATTACATATGTTACACAGGCTGATTTATTCATTTTAAGTATTTGGGATTTTAAGAACCCCACTCTTGTCTCTCTCCGGCTTTCGTTTTTTTTTTGTTTTTATGGTGGGCGTTTACGCAGTTGGCTAGAGCAGTGCTGATTGGGGAGAACGGAGGTGCGCTCACTCTTGCCCAGGGCAAGTAAGACTGCAGCTCAAGGCTGGAAGTCATGCATATGCTCTGGAACAGAGTAATATCGCGTCCATATTGCAGGCTTTGCGATTAGCAAATCGCAACGTCTCAAATCGCGGTTTCGATTCGGTTTCGATTAATCGCACAGCCCTAATTGGCATCGAGGTTTTTTGTTTGACTGTTAAGTGGGACTTTTTTGGTTTAAACGTTTTTGGGACTTTTATTTTGACAGCATCAAGAACGCCATTAAGGCACATTTTTCTATTGTTGTCATGCGCCTCCCAGCTTACTGTCTTTATTTACAGCTGTGTTTAATAAATTACTGTAGTGTCTAATAAATTATTAGACAGAAATGTTAAAGACGAAAAGCTTTTTGTTTTTTCCATAAGAAAAATTGAGTTTTTTTTTTTTTTAATTATAGTCAGCATTAGCCATTGTTGGGCTGAATGTTTTATTAGATTTTTTCTGTTGCGATTTTTTTTTTTTTTTGTATATTAAGTATTATAATATTTAAAATATTTGAATGAATAACAATGTGAAAAATGTATTGACTAATCGAGAAAAAAAAAACTCATTGAAAAAATAATTGTTAGTAGGAGCTAAGGATGTCTGATGCTGCTGTACTGTGAAAAGCCTGATGTGTTTGTTCTTTGTGTGTGTGCTTCAGGTGAATGGGCATCAGATGATGGATGAGCCGATGGAGGAGGAGTCCTACACACACTGTGTGAGTATCTGTCAGTCTCTCAGAACAGCTCCATGATTCCTGACTGGAGATCAGGGTTTCAACAGCTGGGTTTTTTAATGCCCATCGTCCTCACAAATGTTTATAATTGGCAGGTATCCGTATAAACACTCTAAAATAGTGATTTTAAGCCATTTAAGTGCAAGAGGATGCAAAGAGAACTCGGTACTGGTGCACAGTTAAAATCTCCTCTCAGACAGTGACATATTCTTCAGCAAATACACACAGAATTATGTGAAAATGCCCGTCTTTGTGAGTATTCATGTAAACTGTGACAGTTATGTAACTGAGCGTAACCAGTTGAGAAGGAGCTCAGATCTGTATCGTATTGGATTTGAGCATTCTGTCTTAAAGTGACAGCAGCTTAATACACCTGCTGCTGTCTGTTGTCAGTGAGGTAACTCCAGCAACTAAAGACAAAGTCAATCACTGCCTTTAACCAAATAACTTTTGTGGTTTTAACAATGATTAAACTATATTTAAATCATACAGTGAAAACTGCGGTGAAATGCATTTTTATATTTAGAGCTGGGACGATTTGTTTATCTGAGGTTATGGGTTGAAATATAATATGATGTTCACAATTTGATATAACAACACCCAACCCAGTATGACAATTTTTTTTTTTTTTTTTTTTTTTAAGAAAGTGTTTCTGGAAATTGCAAAGAAGAGTTTCTCATCAGAATTAATTTCTCTGACTCACAGTATTAGTGTCTATCTTTAAGCTGAATTTTGATATATCATATACCCCAAATGTATTTGGAAACTTAAGCTACGGTTAAAAATGTATTTGCATTATTTAACAAAATATTAAAACTGTATGTATATCGGCCGCTCTGCTCTCAAATATATCTGCATCAGCCATTAAAAACCCATTTCCACTTACCACATGCTTTGATGAAATGGTTAGGAGTTTTTGAATGATATACTGAATAAAGGTAATAGTAACTAGTAGGAATTACATGTAAGATTTGTTAATAAAACCATTTTATTTCTGATGAAATAATAAACACAAACTGGTGTCCGTCAGCAGAGTCATGCAGCATCACGCACTTGAAATGAAGCGGATGTTGGATGTAATATAGTTTTGTTTTGCACTTTGAAAACTGTCCTCCAGAACTTGTCATGATGTATGTGTATGTTTGTGTTGTGTGTGTGCAGGACGAGGGCGCTTATAAAGAGATTCCCATCACTCATCATGTGAAGGAGGGCTGTGAGAAGGCCGAGCCCAGCCAGTTTGAGCTGCTCAAGGTTTTGGGACAAGGCTCCTTTGGGAAGGTCTGTGATTCTTTCACTTCATATATGTTAACTGTAGGGCTGCGGCGGGGTACAAAATTCATGGTTTGGTGGGATTTTTGTACAACAGGGAGAACAAAGCATCAGTTGCAGCAGTTCTTACTGTGAAGGCGCTCATTTGCACATGACTTCAAAATGACTGAAAAACTATTTAATATACCAGAATAATAACTGCAGTAAATCTTCGACATTATCAGTGTAGATTTCTGTTTCTTCATGGCTTCTTTATAATTGAGAATACTCACATATCTGAACAAACTATTTTGAACTTGGACAAATGCTGTCATGCTGTCTCTTCCTCTGAAAGGTTTCTTTTTTCATTTTTTTTTTAATTTGCCGTTTACTCCAATGTCCAGAAACATACAAATACAGCCTCAAACATACAATAGGGATTAAAAAAATAATAATAATACAGTTATGACTAAAGTAATTATACACAGTAGAATAGGGAATCAGGAGAGGTTATAAACATAATGGCATAATGTCCATATCTGCCAAAAGTCGTTAGACGTTTGATGTGTATCATAAGTGAGTTTCTCAAGTGGGAGTAATGCAGATATTTGAGACATCCACATTTTGAAAGAAGGCACCTGAGGGGATGACCACAATCACAATATACATTTCTTTGCCAAATAGACCAGAATTAAAAACAAGTGTTTAGCATGAGAATCAAATATCTTCTCCACTCTGAGAGATAACAGATACAATTCCAAAGAGAAGCAGAATTGCAATTTAAGCAGCTCTTGTAAAATGTTATGTATTTTGGTCCAAAAAGAGATGATTTTATCACAATACCAAAAGCAGTGAAGAAATGTTCCTTTGCATTTTTTTACAATTAAAACAGACCAGAAGATTTTCTGTACATTTTCTTCAGACGTAATGGTGTGAGAATAGATTATATAAATGAATTTATAGTTAAGTTCGTGAATCCCCGATGAAGTACACTTAAAATACAAATTGTTCCATATGGCAGACCAATCTGCATTATCAATTCCATAAGCTAAATCCTTTTCCCAAACAGTCTTCAAGTTCTGTACATGTGTCAGACAGAGCATCATATACAACAGAAATTAACCCCTTGGAAAAACTGTTTGTCACAATCTGTTCAATGCCAGTAAGTTAAAATCTGTTTGGCATTATCAGAAAAAGGTTTTATAAAACGACGCAGTTGAAGATATTTGGAAAATGAGATTGTGGTATGTTATATTGGAAGATTTCAATGTATTACCTATTTTTGAGATCCCCGAATTAAGACCTATATTATGCAGAGAAACAGGAAAGGCAGGGTTAAAAGCAATAGGAGACAACAAGGAAGGATTGGCTGGAATTGTAAGATAAGTTATGACATCTCTCCATGCCAAAAGAGTGTTGAAATAATAAAGTTTGTTGAAATGCATTTAAATTTTTTTTATATTTATAATGAAAGGCAGAAATTTTATTGGAAGGGAGCACAAACCATTGCTTCCATGTTAAGCCACATAGAATCCTTTCATTATACCAGCTGACCAAGTGCTTCTCCCGTGCTGACTAATTATAAAATTGAAAGTTTGGAAAAGCGACACCTCCCTCCTCTGTTTTATTTGATGCATACAAAGATATTTATGTGTCTCCTACTGAAAGCCCTGTATCCGTTTGGTTGGGTACCGCTGCAGGCCTAATTACCAGTCATGTCATAAATCTGTTTGCAGTGTTATCTGTTTTCTTTTTTTAGTCTTAATACTTTATCTGTGCCTTTAGCAACTTAATTGCATTATTACTATGAATGAGTATGAGTGTTAAAAGTTTGTATCTCTGGATCCTTGTTTTGTTAATTATCTTTTTAACTGCAATCTCGACGGAAGTCTTTGACTGCTGCAGCACATTTTAATTAGGGGTGGGAATCACCAGAGGCCCCACGATACGATATTATCACGATACTTGTGCCACGATACAATATTATTGCAATTTTAAATATATTGCGATATTCTGCGATATATTGCAATTTATTACCTTTTTCCAACTTCAAATTAAGTCCCCAAAGGAAAACTTTGACAACATCTGTTTTAACTAAAAATAAACATTTTTCAGTTTGTTTATCTCGCTTCAATTTTATTGTTGCAGTGCAAAATGGGATTGTCAAGCAGACAAACTGACCAACACTTTCATGAAAACCTGTCATAAATGTTGTATGCACCTGGCAAACTCAACTATTTGTATTACAGTCTAGTCTAGTCCACCTTAATTAAATGTAAACAGGTATGCACTGCTGTGCTACTACAGGTATTTTGAACAGTGCTTAAACTTAAACTTGTACAAAAAAGCTGTGCAGACCATTCAGCAATTGGGGCATTTGAAAGTAAATTACTAGGGATGCTCCGATCGATCGGCCAGAGATCGGTATCGGCCGATAATCACATTTCATGACTCGATCGGTACTCACTATTTGGCCGATCTCACGAACTGATCGCAATTTGATGACGTCAACGTACAACTGACCACGTACATGATGCGTGGGGACGTAAATGATTTTACTGCGCCTCACTGCACACGTCTGCGGCGCGTTACGGCTCCACGGGAACCAAAGCTGATCGCGGCCGCTCTAGTCAGTGCTTGTGTTTATACTGCAGCCGCGGCATGTTTCTCTCTTTTGTGAGTTGGCACAGCGTGGAGGACGGAACAAAACCTCGTCTGAGCCGTATCGCTGATCGTGGGCTGCATTTAAATGTTTATTTATAAAACAAAATATCTTTGGCCATATTAGCCTACTCAATAGCATTATCACAGGCTTTACTCCTTTCAAACTTTATCTGGAATGTCACCGTTTCTGTCACTGCCACTTCCCGATCAGGCGAACGAACACACACACACGCGCACGAAATCGTCAGCCTCATGAAAAAAATGTTGTTAATATTTGCATAATTTATGATTTATTTTGTTCACCCGCAAATAATCAGAATGCATTTTAAAGTGGGAGAAATAAAGGTTTCACCGGTAACAGCTGTACACAAAGCAGGGCTGAGCTCACAAACGCTGCTTTATCAGGCATATAACATGAAAGATTAAATGAAAATGACGTCGAAAATTTTCTAAAGATAGTCTTCCTTCAGAAATACAGTGATATAAAAAAACCCGCGCCTCGTTTTGATTTTTAAATGTGCAGGATGTGCTCATGTTTATTAAAAAAAAATCTTTTTTTTTAGCCTTTTGAAAAATCAGTCAGTTTTGATATTGTGGCGAGTGCCACAAATAAATAAATGTATGGGAAACACATCCCACAGCACAACCACCTGAGCCCAGCTTCAGTCTACTCATCACCTTAACTTTAACTGCGTTTGTAGCCGGTGCCATAGCCAGACTGATAAACAAACGCAGACTGGAAATTAACTTTGGGCCAGGTGCGTGCACCCGATGAAACGTCTATATAAAGCTTGAAGCATCAGAATCGGCATCGGTATCGGCCGATCACCATGACAAGAAATCAGTACCCAGTATCGGCTGCAAAAATCCGGATCGGAGCATCCCTATAAATTACTGTTAAATTTAAAATAAATAAAACATAGTCTTACATTAAAATAAAAATGTTACATTTAAATTAAACATAACATGTACTCTTAAAGTAAACATTGTGCAACAACAGGTATACTATGCACTGCTGTGCTCTTAGTATTTTACTTTAATTCATTCCATGAAGTTCCAAGCCAGTTCTATATCGCCGTCCTATATTTATGCGCTTCTTTAATTGATGCACACACACCACTCGCACATAAACACAGTGAGAGGGAGAGAGGAAGGAGATTGCCGATCGCACTGCGCACACACAGAAACTTATTGTCGGTGCTGCCCCGCAACTTTTATGAATAAAATAACATGGATACTAGATCGCTTCATTATCTTCCTCAGCAACGAGGTCAAATTGAAGTAAATAAACAACTTCATAGTTTGTTGAGAGAAACGCACAGATGCAGGTAATTCACACACACAACTGTCATCTCTCTCGATTGATAATTCATTCAAATAAATGCTATAATTCATTCAAATAAATCTGGTCTTACCGCACTATTTCATCTCTGTATCTGATTTAAAGCGGGCAAAAAGCTAGAGCTAACGAGCCTTAACTGACGAAAATAACCGTCATTTTTACCCTTCCGGTTAAATATTGCGCTGATAACATCATAAACAGCTTTAAGTTGTCAATACTGGCAAATAACCATGGAATAAGCGGGATAATCAACGGCTTGCCGTGCATTAAAGGAATTTAGAAAAAAAACTCAACACCACAGGGCTCTACGCTTACTTTTCTTTTTAGGAGCACTTGTGCTCCTAACTTAAAAAATTTAGGAGCACGTTCAAAATTTTAGGAGCACCTTCTAAACAATTATCCAAAAGTTTATCAAAAAGTAGCCTTCCCATTACGAGGTGATATTTGACTCCTTTATTAAAAGTATGTCATCTTCTGTCAAATTCTTAAAAAAATTATATTTTATAAGCTTTTTAACATTTTTAATTAAAACGACAGAATAAGAACAAGTAGAATAAGAAATATAAGTTACCAATCAAATTAAATCAGTATTAACAAAATTCGTTTGTAGAGGTGGCACAGAAGAACACAAAAGTGGCTTGGTGTACTTTCAGACATTTAATGAGGCTCAGAAGTGGAATGAGTGCAATTAAATCCATAAATTCATGATGATATTACTGTTTTAAATATACAATTTTGAATATAGAAATATTAAATTATTTAAATAACTGAAAAGATACTTTAAAAATGAAACAAACTGCCAGCAGGTGGCAGTAAGTCACTGATTTTTATCACTGAATCATTCATTCAATTGATTCATTCGAACGGCTGATTCATTCAAGAACGAATGAAGTGACTGTATTTATGAATGGGTAATCATGAATCACTGACTGACTAGATTCGTTTAAAAAACCCCGTTCATTCGAAACACCGCTGTGTTTGAATGGAGATGCGCAGCGGCTCCGCTGTGTCTTTGTTTTAAACT